TAAACCCCAAGCAGCTTTTCTGTGTGACTGCACTCAGCATGACCAACCCTTGAGCAACAGACACCACTAGCCTTTCTTCCCCAGCTTTTGATGAAGGACTTACTTAACAACCAGCTAGCAGAAGCCTGACTATAAAATAATGAATATATGATATGATCTGGCTAATTATTGCTTCCTAGTGAATGTCATACGACTGGCTCCATGAGGGTGTGTGGGGGGGGTTTGATCGGTTTTTGGTTTGGAGTGTGTGGGTGTGTGTGTACAAACCTACACCATAGGAACAAAGCAGCTGGTGAGGGTGCCTAGCTCCCGTGTGGCTGTCCTCAGGTCTCACGGCGTCTTAGTTACAGCATGTCTCTCGCCACGCTCCGAGCTGGCACTGTGTTGCACACATCTGTTTTGGCTGCATACTGTATGATAGTGGACACGCAGCAAATGTTCAGTAAATATATGCTGCATGAATAAATACATTGCAGAGACACAGACGTATTTGTCTATCTATGTATCTGACACACTTTTATCCCCATTCCTGGGGCCAATTTTCCATGTTGCCTGTCAATTGAGTCATATCTAATTGCTGCCCAGCCTTTTGGCTAAAATCAAGTGTTGAGTCACAGCTAGACTATATATAGCTGGACCCTTGGTCTAACTTCTGTCCTGATGAAGTCTGTGATGGAAAGATGCTGTTACATATTATTCAGTACAAGGTTACTGGCTATGAGGGATATTGAAAAATGCCTAGAGTGACTGAAGAGTGAATTTTGGAATTTGTTTTCATTAATTTAGATTTAAGTTGCTATATGTGACTATTGTATTGGCCAACTCTAGCCTATAGTCTCTCTTAGCCCAGACTAGCCTTAAACTCACTATGTATCAGAGGCTGCCATATGCTTTTGTTCCTCCTGCCTCCATCAATGGCTGGGATTGTACATGTGTGGCATCCTACCTGGTTCTAGTCTCTTACATTGGCCACCTCTTGTGCTTTTTAAAAAAATAATTAGGTTTTATTTTATGTACATTAGTGTGAAGGTGTCAGCTCCTTTGGAATTGGCATTACAGATAGTTGTGAGCTGCCATGTGGGTGCTGGGAATTGAACCCGGGTCCGTTGGAAGGACAGGTGGTGCTTTTAACCACTGAGCCATCTCTCCAGCCTTCCTCTTGTGCTTTTCTACATTCCAATCATTTGGTAGATGGCAGACAACACTTTTGATGGTGGTTATAGTTGGAAGGCTTCTCTAGCAGTCTTCTATCACCTTTTAAAAATATTCCATTTCAAAGATGTATTTTTATTTATGTGCATGTGTGTACATGTATACCATGTATGTGAGTGCCTGTAGAGGCCAGGAGAGGATTTCAGATCCTCTGGAGCTGGAGTCACAAGCAGCTGTGAGCTGTGCAATATGGGTTCTGGGAGTTGAACTTGGGTCCTCTGGAGGAGCAGCAATTGCTCATACTGCTGAGATATCTCCACCAAACTCTCTCTCCCTCTAAATTCTTTACTCAGCACTTGGGAGCCAGAGGCAGGTGAATTTCTACGAGTTTAAGGCCACCCTGGGCTAGGTACAGAACTAGTTCCTGACCAACTACAATTAATTACAGTGAGATTCTGTCTGAAAAGCAAACAAACAAACTGGGGCTAGGATGTAGTTCAGTGGGAAGGCACAGGGCCCTAGGTTTGCCCTCTCATGTCATATACATTACACATACATCAATATGTGTGTGCATATGTTATTCATTTGTGTAAATACATATAAAGTGAAAATAAAAAATAAATCACTATAATCAAGTCACCATTTAGACTTTTGTTTGTTTGTTTGAGACAAGGTTTCTCTGTGCAGCCCTGGCTGTCCAGGACTTGCTCTGTCCACCAGGATGGCTTCAAACTCACAGAGATCTCCTTGACTCTGCCTCCTAAGTGCTGGGATTAAAGGTGTAACCATTTAGACTTTTTAAGTGGTAAAATAAAATAGGGAGTGAAAACTATTTTTAAAAAGATGATGGTTCTCTGAGCTGAGAAAAACTGTTTTTCTTTCCAGTTCTGTCTAAGGCAGCACAAAAGAACAGAGAGGCGAGCGTGCATGTGAAGGTCTCTTGGGCCATAGGGGGAACAGGCTGGAGGGAATCAGCTGCCCGACTGAGATCCACAAATCTGCATTTGACTATAAAACTGCGGCTCCTCCTCCTGTGCATCTAAAATTACAGTTCACACTCATTACTGCAATCGACAGTGTTCGAAGAATGCCTGTTATAAATCCAGTATTATTAGCTATATAAACCTTTCCAGTTTAGTGGGGGTTTGTAGCTACTTACCACTGAATGACTTCAAACTCACTGAGATCTGCTGGCCTGTCTCCTGAGTACTACGATTAAATGTGTGCACCACCACGCCCGGCTATAGTTTAATTTTTACAGAGTTAGATATTGTTCACATGTCACTGGTATTTAAAAATGTGAGGATCTGAGAGCACACAGAACTCTAATAATAAAATTTGATGCTGCCCGATTTAAGGGACTAACAATCCAGTTTATGAACTTGTAAGCCCCCTGTGTTAGCTTCCATTTTTGAACAAGAATTTAAATTCTAGTTTGTGGTTTATCTATAAGCTTCAGAGACATTATAGTCTAAAGATAAAGTGAGTTTTGGAGCCATTTTGGTGTCTGCCCCACCACCTCCATTAACTAGAGAATTACCAGATTGTATTACTTCATTGATTTAAACTCAAATCCTTTCACAGATATTAATATTTCATGTTTACTCATGACTCCATAGAAAGGTAAAAAGCTTTTTAAAAATGATTGCAGCAGGGTTGTGGTGGTGCATGTCTTTAATCCCAGTACACAGAAGGCAGAGGCAGGAGGATCTCTGCCAGCCTGGGCTACACAGGGAACCCTTCAAAAGAACAAACAACAAATTATTTTATTAACAGGTTAAATTATATTGGCCAAATAGGACTTCATTTCTTTATCTCCAAGTTTCAGATGAATGGGAAGAAGCCAGGGGCCACAGTTTTACTGCCAGAGCACCAAACAGTAGGTATACCTTAACATTTTGGAGTCCTTGGGTTTTGCAGAGACAGGGTCTCAAGTAGTTCACATTGGCTTTGAACTCCTCAGTAGCCAAGGACGTCAGTGAATTTTATTCATTGGTTTATTGTAGCGGAAAGCCACGGGTGGTACTCTTATTTAAAACTCTACTTTATTTGGGGTGTTTAGGCCTCTCCCTTCCACTAACCCCTAACCTTAAGCAGGAAAGAGAAAAGGTTAGTGGGGAGAGGGAGCTCAGACCCCTTTACTTCTTCTGGCTAGTTGGGGTCAAGGGGTTCTTTTAGGGCTCTACACCAATCTCCTTCAACCGAAGATGCAGCTAGCAGGCTCCTCCATGCTGCTGCGCCCCTAAGTATTTCTGTCTGTCTGCTCCAAACTGCCACGTGCCAACTCCAAACTCCACAGTCTCTTTCTCTGCCTCTTATTTATACTCTGAGAGTGCCAGACATGACCCTCTCTGTGTGGCAAGTGGAAGGCGGTTACCAGCTGACAAAGATCATGCCCCTCATGTGACAATTAACAGGTATGGACAAACTATAGCCCAACTAAAATCCCATACTTGGGATTAAAAGAAAAACATATTTTTGTAACATACAAAGAAACCAAAACTTCCAATTTATTTTGTCGAGACAGTTTTCTCTGTGTGGCCTTGGCTGTCCTGGACTCACACTTAGATGTGCCTGTCTCCATCTCCTGAGTATTGGGATTAAAGAGCTGCACTACCACAGCCCACCAGGCTGACACTGACTTCTTGATCATCTCCCAAATGCTGGAATTACATGCCACCAGGCCTACTTTAGGTGCAATCTATACAAGATGGTTGCTGTGTGGAAATTAAATTCTATTTCCACCTAAAAGTTTCAAAAACACGTTTTACAGAAAGAACTGAATCATAATGGATTTCAAGAGCAATATATTTTTTTTTTGAGACAGGGTCTGGGCTATGTAGCTTTTAACTTGTGCCCCAGTCTGCCAAGTGATAAGGACTACAGGTAAGTGTATTCTCTTTTTTTTTTTTTTTTTTTTTTTTACTAAATCCCAGCTTTTTATTATTACGACTTTGTAGACAACTCAGTATGTATACGAGCATGTTTAAAATGTGTCCGAAAAAAGTGATAAAGTGAATAATCTAGCTGGGTGTCCCTTTCATCATTAAGGGATCTCTAAACTGGTGGACCAGATCCGACGCCAGACAGACGTCCTGCAAGAGGCCTGTTTTTACAGTACGTCCAGGGGAAACTTCCATGCAATTCTAAGGCTTACTCAAGGGTCACTAGTAAATACGGTGAGCAGCGCACAAGGCCCTCTCTGTCAGCTGTGCGGCACGGAGCGGTAGAGCAAGCCTGTTTCCCAGGCCTTGCACCACTGATTGTTGAAGGGACAAAAGAAAGGCTCTGGCCTCGCCCTTGCGCAACTTAAAAAGTCCCACTAGCGAAGAAGGACTTATGAAAAAAAAAAAAAAATCAGACCACAATTAAGAGGACGAAAAACAGGCAAACAATAACCATCTATGCATAACAATCGCCTATTTGTGCTCTACGGGGCAGCAGTGGAGACTTGAAGTTTGAAACCTAGAGCCGGAGGGACGGACAAAAAAAAAAAAAAAAAAAAAAAAAAAAAAAAAAAACAAAACAAAACCAAACTAAGATGGAAGAAAGGAGGCTGTACTCGAGCGGGAAATGCCAGGTGAGGACCGAGGGCGGGTAGAGGAGAGGCTCCTCCGGGCTACGGGGGCCAGGGCGCCAGTGGAGCGCGGCCACCGAGGAGCCGGAAAGGCCGGCGGCCGCTGCGGCCGGTCGGTTTAACCGAAAGGCGGCTTCCTGGGCCTCCATTTGCGCGGCGGGGCCCAGCGCGGAGGCCGCGGCGCGGGGGAGGCGGGGCGGGGCCTGCGCGCGCAGCCGCCCTAGCGCGCCTCGCCCCGGCAGGGGGCGGGGCGCCTATATTACGTGCGCGGCGCCGCCCCTGCGAGAGGACGTTGCGTGCTCGCTCGCGCCAGGCGAGTCTCCGCGTCTTGCCTCGCGAACTCGGTGAAAGGAATTGGCGCCGTTCGACACCAGGCGGGTCCGCTCTGCAGCAGCCCTCAGCCCTCTCCAGCCGCAGCCGCCGCCCGGGCCGACCAGCAGCCGCCGCCAGAGGCCGAGGGAGCCAGCAGCCAGCGGTGAACCGGGGCCCTCACCATGAGTTCTTCGCCTGTTAATGTCAAGAAGCTGAAGGTGTCGGAGCTGAAGGAGGAGCTCAAGAAGCGGCGCCTCTCCGACAAGGGCCTCAAGGCCGATCTCATGGATCGCCTCCAGGCCGCGCTGGACAACGAGGCAGGAGGCCGCCCCGCCATGGAGCCCGGGAACGGCAGCCTCGACCTGGGTGGCGATGCGGCCGGGCGCTCGGGAGCAGGCCTAGAGCAGGAGGCCGCGGCCGGCGCCGAGGACGAGGAGGAGGAGGAGGGCATCGCCGCGCTGGACGGCGACCAGATGGATCTGGGCGAGGAGAACGGGGCGGAGGGGGCGGCCGACGCGGGCGCGATGGAGGAGGAGGAGGCGGCGTCGGAAGACGAGAACGGCGACGACCAGGGCTTCCAAGAGGGGGAGGACGAGCTCGGCGACGAGGAGGAGGGCGCGGGCGACGAGAACGGCCACGGGGAGCAGCAGCCCCAACCGCCGGCGGCGGCGCAGCAGCCCGCCCAGCAGCGCGGGGCAGGCAAGGAGGCCGCGGGCAAGAGCAGCGGCCCCACCTCGCTCTTCGCGGTGACGGTGGCGCCGCCCGGGGCGAGGCAGGGCCAACAGCAGGCGGGAGGTAAGAAGGCGGAAGGCGGCGGGTGAGTGTTGCGTGGTGGGTGCGCGCGGCGGGAGGCCCGCGTGGGGACCGTGCCCCAGGCCTGGCGGGCCCCCCCGGGGGCGGGCGGCGGGGGGGGCGGGGGAGCCCGGGGCCGCCGGGAGGCTCCGCTCGCCGTGCCGGCGGCGCCTCCATTATGTGTGTCGGGCGCCGGGGAGGGGGGCAGAGCTGCAGCTGCCGCGGTGGGGGTTGTGCTGGCTGGTGGGGGGGAAGGACAGGCGGGCGGGAGCGCCGGCCGCTGGGGCGCTGCGTGCGCGCGGTTCGGGCACATGTCTGGGCGGGGGGTGGGGGGGGAGGCCCGAAGGTCCCGGGGCGGGCGGGCTTTGGCGGCTCCTCGCCGCGGTATTGTGCAAGGAGCGCAGGGGCTCGGTGTGACGTCACTTCCGGCGGGAGGCGCCGGGCGCGGAGAGCGGGGCGGAAGCCCAGTACAATGCGGCGGCGGGGCACGCGGGTGGGGGAGGGGCGGCGGGCCCACGCTCCCCCTCCCCGCCGGAGCGCGGCGCACGTGGGCTCGGGCGGCGGCGCGCTTTCTTTTTTTTTTTTTTAATATTTTAAATTGTTTTTTTTAAAGCTTTCTGAAGGTTGCGGCAGGGCAGGCAAGATCAGTAGCGTCTTTAGACTGCGTCACTGTCCCCAGTCCCGTTCCTTGCTGATGGATTTTTTATTTATTTGTTTTGTTGTCTTTAGTTCGCATTTGTTTCGTGGGCTAAAAAGTCACAGACCCGGTCTGGAGAAGTCAGTATCCTCTCTTGAGGCTGGGAAACAAGGAAGGTGTTTTTCTCCGTTATTTAGCTCGTGGCCTGGGGTTTTTAAAGCGGTGTTCTGTGTCGTTATAGGAGACGGCAAAACAGAACAGAAAGGCGGAGATAAAAAGAGAGGTGTCAAAAGACCTCGAGAAGATCATGGCCGAGGATATTTTGAGTATATTGAAGAAAACAAGTACAGCAGGTAGATACTAACCTAGTTTTCACTTGTCACCCATTCCTTATGCATGGGGAGAAGAGCTTTATCAGGAGACAATTCTGTTTTTCAGAGCCAAGTCTCCTCAGCCACCTGTTGAAGAAGAAGACGAACACTTCGATGACACAGTGGTTTGTCTTGATACTTGTAAGTGAGGCGGAATTTCCCGCTCTTCTCATTTTCAAGTGCAGTGTTATTGGTTTTAAGTGTTAGGAAATGTGTTGCTCTGAAAGTGGAGAAAACCCGTTAAGGGATTTGTTTTAAAGCAGGAAGATAATAAGCTTTTGTTCAGGTTACAGTAGTTTAATATTTAGTGCCACTTCAGTTGTATTGATACTTTTTACAAATTTTACTAAATGGTAATATTTTTATGACTGGGAACTTCTCAGTACTTAGGGATGTAAAACTAATCAATTTTTGTTCAGCTACCAGAATCTTACTGTAGTTTTTTTTTTTTCTTTCTTAAATCCTGCCTGTAACTTGTCCTTAGATAGGTAATATGGTTTAATTTTTTATGTGGAACTGTAGTAAGTGAGCTATTTGGGCTAGTTGAATACTTACTAATGATTTTCCCCATTAGCACACACGTATATTCCCTATTCTAAGGAATGTAATATTACCTTTCAATAACTGCTCTTTTGTTCTCAATTCCAGTTCAGTAGCTGCTGCTTTAACATAAGTTGATTTCTTCCAAAGACCTGGGGCAGCAGCAGTGGGCTATCTGAGCCACTAGCTTTCTTCAGCAGCGAATGGTATCAATGGCAGCGCTGTAAATATGCTACTTTACCCAGTTGGGTTGCAATTGAGTATGAGGAAGTATTGCAAACCATGAAATGGGCTTTAGCTGTCAGATTTGTATTTTTATCTTTTAAAGAAGTTGGTTAGTTTATTAAGTATTTAATAAGAATGTATAACTTGATGTGAGCAGAACAAAAAAAATTGAAGTGCTTGAGTAGTTACAAGGTTTCACTTGGTGGCTAAAAGCTTGGATTTTCACATTTCCTTGTACAAATTATTTTCAGAGGCTTGAGAGTTAAAGTGGCTGGTTTCAAACTTCATACCTTTTACAGTCAGATAAGTCTTGAAAGAGAAAAGAGAAAACAACTGATTTGGAAGTTTTGCTGTTTACTGAAATGTAAAAATATTTTCCAAGAGAATGGTTAATATTACTACTTACAGTTAGATCAATCAGACTGTTTGTTTAGACACAAATTTGATTCTGTCAGCAGTCAGGAAAAGCTTGAGAATTTCAAACTGCAGATGAGTTCAATAAAACAATAAACGGCTTTCTAATTTAACATTGGTTGTCAGGTGAGAATTCTGAGAAGCTGTGGATTAATAAGCTCTTCTCATCCAAAGATAGCTAGGTTAAAGACTGGATTTGTATAATCCAGGCAGTAGTTAATTCCTAGTTGTGGTACCTTATCAGGTTGGGTAAAAGAGCCTGAAAAGCTACAAATTAACGCTTAGACTGCCGGGTTTGTGGGTTTGAAGCTGGCGTAGTCACATGTTTTCAGAGATGAGTTAAAGTTCTAGAACCTTGGTGTTAGTCTGCACATCACAGGATCAGCAGTTTTCTTAAAATATTTGGTGGTGGCTTCCCTTCAGTTTTTATTGTCACTGGTAAATTCTCCCTGGTTCTGGCATGCTTCCCTTTGATATCCTGCTGTCCTCTACTGCTTGCCTCTAAGTCAAGGTAAAGAGCAGAGCAGGTATGTATCAATGTTGCATTGTCTCAATCATTATGTACATTTCAGACTTCAGCATTAAAATTGGCAGTTGACTGCTTAGTACATAATCAATTTAAGACTGCCTTGGTGGGAGTGGGGCTTAAAATGCGAATAGGAACAAGAGCATGGTGTAAAAACAGTTCTGCAGTAATAGATGAAAAACAGGTTAAATTTTGTCAACATAGCTGAAATACATTGGGTGTCAAAAGAATAATTTGGCATTTGATATAATTTCAGATAATTGTGATCTGCATTTTAAAATATCAAGAGACCGCCTCAGTGCTTCTTCTCTTACTATGGAGAGTTTTGCTTTTCTTTGGGCTGGAGGAAGAGCATCTTACGGTGTGTCAAAGGGCAAAGTCTGTTTTGAGATGAAGGTAAATCTTGTGACTTCAGGAACCTATTTGTATTGGTTGGTGTCTAGGTCAGAAGGAACTCTCCTGAAATGAGAGAGCCTCAGGTTTTCCTATCAATATACAGAGCTAGCCCATGTACTGTTTAGACTTACTAGATCTTCCAAGTTGGGGGCTGTATATAGCTAAAGATGTAGAGCACTTTCTTTATTAATAGCAGGGGAAGAATTGGCCCATCACCCTGATGAAATAAGCTAGAGTTCAAGGGATTGTCTTGTTTTACAGCTTAATCATGTAGTTGCTTGATTTTCAGGTAACGGAGAAGATCCCAGTCAGGCATTTATATACAAAAGATATTGACATCCATGAAGTTCGGATTGGCTGGTCACTAACCACAAGTGGAATGTTGCTTGGTAAAGTTTATATTTGAGTACTGCATTAATTTAGAATCTGGTTACAGTGTTAAATGAAACCTAGAATGCATTGTAAACCTTGACCTGATTTTACCCATTTAGTGTTGGCTATTTTACAGCTAGCATGTGCAGGCATGGATAGGGTTTTTGTTGTTTTTAGGTTTTTGTGTTTTTGTTTTTTTTTTTTTTTTTTTGAGACAAGGTTTCTCTGTAACAGTCCTGGATATGCTGGACTCACTTTGTAGACCAGGCTGGCCTCAAACTCACAGAGACCTATCTGCTTCCTGAGTCCTTTTGTAGTTTTAAAGATGGTTAAACTAGATAGACTGCTTTTGACATGTAAATTGTCAGTTGAAAGTATGTGTCCTACTCTGTCACTTGGGCATTTGTTCTTTATAAAGATAGATTTGACAACTGTTGGGTGAGATTTGCTCACTAATAAGTCTTTGAGCATACATTTTAAATAAGTTAGATGGGTCTTGGGACTGCTTAGATGGGTTTTATATTTTTGGTTTTGTTTTGCTTTTTTTTTTCTTTAGGTGAAGAAGAATTTTCCTATGGCTATTCTCTGAAAGGAATAAAAACCTGCAACTGCGAGACAGAAGATTATGGAGAGAAGTTTGATGAAAATGATGTGATTACATGTTTTGCTGTAAGTTAAATTACCTGCAAATGTTACTGTGTATATATAGAAGAATTTCTTATCAATATGACCAAACATACACAGCTAGTTCTGAAAATAGGTGTGTGGGAAGGAGGCTCGGGGGTTAAGGTTCCTGCTGTAAGTGAGGGGAGCTGAGTGTGGATACCTTAATGCCCATGTAAGTGAAGAACTGAGATGCAGCTGGTGAGAGGGGAGAGGCAGCAGCCAGTGTGGCTAAAGCCTCAGGGACAGGAAGACATCTGACATGGAACTCTGGCCACACATACAAGAGCAGTTGAAACTGGGAAAATAAAAGACTATTGTTTGAAGGATCACTGACACATTTTGTCAGAAAAACGAGATTGGCCTGAAAAGCCTATCCTCTAAGGCCTAAATCTTGTGTTTCATTGTATATAACCATTAGTTCATAGCAATTAGCCTGAGTGTATTAGCTTCTGTTATCTGGACGAGTTGAGGAGCCTTATAGGAAATAGTTTGAAACTGGTTTTTAAAAATTTACTTCAACAGAACTTTGAAACTGATGAAGTTGAACTCTCCTATGCAAAGAATGGACAAGATCTTGGTGTTGCCTTCAAGATCAGTAAGGAAGTTCTGGCTGACCGGCCACTGTTCCCTCATGTTCTCTGCCATAACTGTGCAGTTGAATTTAATTTTGGTCAGAAGGAAAAGCCATACTTTCCAATACCTGAAGACTGTACGTTTATCCAAAATGTCCCCTTAGAGGACCGAGTTAGAGGGCCAAAGGGACCTGAAGAGAAGAAGGATTGTGAAGTAAGTTGTTTTTAATGTGTTTATAGATGGTTTGAAGATGACATTGAACAAGGCTAAATGATGGATATTGACTGCTGGTGTGTGAGGAAGTGAAATAAGCGTTTGCGTTTTTGTTTTCTTTCACTGTAGGTTGTGATGATGATTGGCTTGCCAGGAGCTGGAAAAACTACCTGGGTTACTAAGCATGCAGCTGAAAACCCTGGGAAGTATAACATTCTTGGAACAAATACCATTATGGACAAAATGATGGTAAGTAAAAGAACGAAAATAAAGTGTCAAGAAGAGAGTGGGGCCTAGTTCAGGGGAGGTACTTATAGGTTAATCTTGTCTTCATATAGTGAATAGGATTTTCCCTAAAACAAAATTTGAGTACTTAGGTAATCTATCTGGAATAAACTATCTTTCAGTGCCTGCTTTTCCCTAAATTAATCCTTAGCAGTTTAAAGAGCAAGATCAAAACTCCGTTTTGGGGTGGATAACTATTGAAAAGATGCAATTGAATATTTATAAAATGTTACCTCGTTCCTGTGGTCACAAACTTTTACAAAATGTGTAACCAATTAAGCATATTGAAATTTTTGGTAGGTGGCAGGTTTTAAGAAGCAAATGGCAGATACTGGGAAACTGAACACACTGTTGCAGAGAGCCCCACAGTGTCTTGGAAAGTTTATTGAGATTGCTGCCCGCAAGAAGCGAAATTTTATTCTGGATCAGGTAAGCAGCAGCTTTGGAGTTAAAAGTTAGCTAATGATTGATACTATGTAAGATTAATGTCTTTAACGCTTTAATTTCCCTCAAGACAAACGTGTCCGCTGCCGCCCAGAGGAGAAAAATGTGCCTGTTCGCGGGCTTTCAGCGAAAAGCTGTGGTGGTGTGCCCAAAAGACGAGGACTATAAGCAGAGGACGCAGAAGAAAGCAGAAGTAGAGGGGAAAGACCTACCAGAGCACGCGGTCCTCAAGATGAAAGGCATGGAATCGTACTTTACTTTACTGTCTTAAGTCTGTTTTTGTAATTTATGTAGAAATGCAGTGTCTTGGCACTGATAACTCTTAGGGATTGTACTAATCTTGGTAAACGGAAGTGTGTTTGGCTTATTTACAAAGCCATGGCCAGATACTGTAATAGTGGTGGCACACAAGTGTAATCCTAGCGTCGGGGACAGAGGCAGGTGGAGCTCTTTGAGTTCTAACCCAGCCTGGTCTACTGAGTGAGTTGCATGGCAGCCACAGCTACACAGAAACCAAACGAGAAAGACAATCAGATAATTAAAAAATTGTACAATTTATATATATCTATAATTACAATTTGGCTTTATTCCCTGTAGGAAACTTCACCCTGCCTGAGGTGGCTGAATGTTTTGATGAAATAACCTATGTTGAACTTCAGAAGGAAGAAGCCCAAAAGCTTTTGGAGCAATATAAAGAAGAAAGCAAAAAGGCACTCCCACCAGAAAAGAAGCAAAACACTGGCTCAAAGAAGAGCAATAAAAATAAGAGTGGCAAGAACCAGTTCAACAGAGGTGGTGGCCATAGAGGGCGTGGAGGATTCAATATGCGAGGTGGCAATTTCAGAGGAGGAGGCAAGTTAATTTTGAGTGTTAAGCTTATTTGGAAATGAGCAGAGAGGTTAGGTTTTTATTAAGCTAAATAGGAAGTTGGTTTCTTTAGCTAATTCTATGCTGCCATGTTTAATACATAATAGAAAAAATTTCACAGGAGGCATACCAGAATTTAAATGACATTGCTTATTTTTCATTAATGATCAAACTTGACTATGAACTCTGACTTAATGTGTTATTAAGACTCAACTCTGCTTGCGTTTATTTAGCTCCTGGGAATCGTGGTGGATATAATAGGAGAGGCAACATGCCACAGAGAGGTGGCGGTGGTGGAAGTGGTGGAATTGGCTATCCATATCCTCGTGGCCCTGTTTTCCCTGGAAGAGGTGGTTACTCAAACAGAGGGAATTACAACAGAGGTGGAATGCCCAACAGAGGGAACTATAACCAGGTACTGACTCTAACTTGGCCTAGAAGGTTGTAGATGGATGCGTGTTGGGAGTCCTCACTGGAGGGTGACATAGTTGTGAAGTGATTGAGTTTACTGGATTTTTCTTTTCAGGTACACTAACTAGTAACAGCAGTGAATCGGCCAGCTGTTGATTTAGGAGCTCTTTATTGACAGATTTTTTTTCCTTTCATAGAATTTCAGAGGACGAGGAAACAATCGTGGCTACAAAAATCAATCTCAGGGCTACAACCAGTGGCAGCAGGGTGTAAGTAGTTTCTTAAATGATTACATACGTTATATAGTGTTTATTTACAAGATTCAGATGGAAGTTATCTAGGGATTGAAGTGTTTATACATTAATAGCACAAGGTATTGATACTATGTTCTAAATTGTAACCATGGGTAAGCTGGATTTTAACAGTTTAAAGTAAGAGTATTTATTTACTACATATGGTTGTTTTACTACATGGTCCTTTTCAATAGTTTTAAGTATATAAACTAACCCAGGTCTCCTGTTTCCTTTTGTAATGTGTATTGGTAAATAATATGGGTAATTGGTAAATTAAAATTAAGTTCTGGTCTGATGTAGAAATTAAACGTGATAAGTATAAATTTGTTTCCAGCAATTACTCTGAATTAGATCATTGTCATTTCCTAAAAACAATGAGTGGCTTATTGATGTTTTTTTCTTTAAAAACAAAATTTTCTCTTACAGCAATTCTGGGGTCAGAAGCCATGGAGTCAGCATTATCACCAAGGATATTATTGAATACCCAAATAAAACGAACTGATACATATTTCTCCAAAACCTTCACAAGAAGTCGACTGTTTTCTTTAGTAGGCTAACTTTTTAAACATTCCACAAGAGGAAGTGCCTGCGGGTTCCTTTTTTAGAAGCTTTGTGGGTTGATTTTTTTTCTTTTCTTTTTTGTACATTTTTAATTGCAGTTTTAAAGTGAATCGTAAGAACCTCAGCATTGTGCACGATAAGAGAATGTGTCAGTATTTCAGGGTTCTACATTTTATCTGTAAAATGTGACTTTTTTTTATCACAACAAAAGTAAAATGTTGCTTTGTACCTGGTGTCTTTTATTAAGCATTTACTCCCCCATTTCTCACAGAGAATAACAGTCGGGAGTCATTGTCACAATAAAATAGCAATGTTAGCAACCAGATTCATGGAAGGACTAAGTGGTCCTCATGAATTGCATAAGATTCTGTACTGCTCATAATACACTCCATCCTCTCTGTAGATTGCTGGGTAATGGTGGAGGGATAATTTCTGACAAACCGGGAAGGCTATTTTTTTTCTGTTTAACAATAGAATTGGCATAATTGGGAATGAAGATAAAATTTGGAACCGAGATTTGAGAAGATGGAGTGTATGTAGAAGGGCTGTTAAAAATGTAAACTTGGTTGCATTATATGTGGAGGCTCAAACTTGTGAAGGTTAAATACCATATTTTCCATTTGTTCTGCATTTTGATTCTGAAAAGAAAGCTGGCTTTGCCCATTTCTTATTAAAAAAACTTGTTGTAAATCCAGTTGTCTAATGGGATCTATATGAAGTTAGCTATGTCTGTATGCCCTTCTCCCACAAATACTGTATAACTAGTGTGCTTGTAGTAGTTTACTCCACCACCTCTGTAAGCTAATGAAATTGTGAGTCACCCATTTTTATCTTAATTTTTAATCATGTCAGTTCTTGAATGGGTATCTCCTTAGCCTGCTGATTTCTTTTTCTTTCTAAAGAAAGTGGGTGGAGAAATTAATTTAGAAGTTTGTTTGCAATAAAAAATTCATTTTACTCTCGTTTGGGATTCTCGCCATCAAGGTCTAAATCCCTTTATACTACAACTCCCAAGAGGAGAAAATTTAAGTGTGTGCTTTCTGGACAGCTTATTCTTTTACTATGTTACTTTGTAACATTTAGGTTTTAAAAACTTAAATGTATACTGACGATTTATAATAGAAAATTGAATTTTCCCTTCCCCTCCCCCCCAAGACGGCTTTTAACATTTATGAGGGGCAAAGGTACTGGCTGGGAGAAGTTAACGCTCAGTTGATCATGTTTACAAATGTGAACGGCTGTCCTCACCTGATATACATAATATGATACATGAAACTTTGGGAACAGATGCTTTTAGAAGCCATCATGCAAGCCAGTCATTGATTTCACTACTACACAGTGCCTGCTAACTTAACTAGCTATGTGATAACATCAGATCCCCTAATTGTAATTTTATTGGGTTTGCACAGAACACTTAAATCTTATAAAGGAGCCTCACTGTGAAGTGAGGAATCAGGAGTCAAACTGTAGAACTAAAATTAGAATTTAGTGTGTCAAGTGTTTTTAACCTGCTTCTGGTAAGTTCAGGTTTCCTATATTACTGATTGCTATAGCTGTAGTATTTTTTTGCTGTTGTTTTAGGTAATTTAAATCGGATTTTTTAGATACTACATTATTATACTATACTCTGGGAATTGCTGCAGGCTAGTTCAGACAGATTGCCATAGAAATAACACTACAAGGTAGTATCTTTGGCTTTTTACTTTGCAGTTAACTTTGTTAGCAACCATTGGTATGGATAATTGCTGTATGTGTGTATATATATACGTGTAAATAAATATATATATACACACACACATTATTAGGACTATATAGTCCTATCCTGGGGAACAGTTCAAACTTTAGTTCAGATTAGTGTTGATCCTAATGTTTTACTCTGTGCCTTTCAAAGGGAGAAATGACTTGTTTAGTAAAAAAAATCCCAAATACTGACTGAATCTTACCTGAAGGAAAGAATTGACTTAATATGCCCAGTGGTAAGCAAACTGAACAACGTTGAGACAGAAGTTGACCAGAGAAAACTTACAGGAGATTGCCATTGGTTCAAGGCATGTTTTCAGTCAAGCTGGGCATGGTAGCATAAGTCTGTAAACTACAGAAAGGCAGAAAAATTACAAGCTGGAGACTAGCCTGGGCTACATACTAGTGAGATTCCCCTACCCCCAGTTACTTCTGTTGGAACAGCTTACACAATCTTGTGCCGGCTAAGCACAGAAGCTGAGGGAGGGGGAGCCCCAGCTCTGCTGGTAGAGCTTGTGCTTAGCAGGGCTTGATGGCAGTGGAGTTGGTCGACGCTGTCGGTAGAGAATAGTGCAGGTAATAGCAAAGAAAACAAATGGAAAAGTATACACAGTACAACAAATTAACAGTCTCTCAAGTTTCTAGTGGAATCGCAGTACTTGATGAGGACCTTGGCTGTGACCTAAGAAAACTCAAAATCAATTTTCTTAGATTTATTCTAGAAAGCAAAATTTGTATTTTTAACACACATGTGGTTAGTGTCTTGTACATAATATTTCTTGTTAAGACTTTCCTATGAGCTTGCTCATAATAGAATTACAACTCTAGATTGCACTGCACAAAAATGTTTGAGTAGCTTTTCAGGTAGTGGGTGCACTTGGATGTAAAAGCCTAGTTGTATGTACATCAGTGTAAATATATTTGATTTTTTGGAAAGAAATGTAGAATAAGCTTAAAACCCATAATTCCCTCTTTACGTAAGTGTAATATATTTTTTTATTAAAGTGAACAAAGTTTGTAGCAGATAATTACACTCTAGTATTCATTCAGTTTTCCCTAGCAAGATGAACAACAATACTTGACCAAAAGCGGCTTTGGGGTAAACATTGTAATATGGTTTGAGTCTAATTTTTTTCTATATTAAATATTCTGGTGCATGGGTATTAGAGATGATACTTGGAAACTGCTAAGTTGTAACTTTTTTTAGTAATAGTTAATAAGCCAGTATGATTAGTTATGCAGTGAGGGAATACTTAGGCCAAGGTCACTTGAAAGGGAGTAACTTCACACAAGCAAACCACAAATGTTGGAGTAATTAGCTTTGTGGCTTGTCCAAAACAGTTATTTCTTCTGGGGAGCCTTTTCATGTGTGATTCTTAGCTTGGCATTTGGACAGAGGAGTAGATACAAGATGAAGATGGGAAATTGTAGCCAGTTGTGTTTTTCAGTTTTTAGTCCCTACGTTTTTTTTGTTTTTGTTTTTTACTTTCTTAGTACTTGGTATATTCAAAGAACTTTCTAATTCTTGTCACTAACCTTTTTTCCCAAAGCCCTTGGAAATTTGGAAGTGAGTTGTAGTGCTGATTGAAGGAATATGCAGTGTTGATTGTAGAATAGTGCTTAGAACCAGGGACCTTTAAATATTTTACTAAATGTGTGCTGGTTTATTTGTAAATACATGGGCCAGTCTCTCATGCCTAACAGGTTGAAAGTAAGAACAAAGGAATGGTGTTCTTGTCATACTCCCATCTTTCCTCACTGAGTGTAAAAAAAAAAAAAGTATAGGTGATTGAATATTGAAATGCCCTAGAATTACACTTAGTTTGTAAGGTGGAATCCAGAAGGTTAAACTATAATTATTACGAAGTGAAACATTTAACAAAATGAGTCATTTCACACCTAGTGCTGGTATAGATAGGCTAGTAGGTGTTGAAGATAGGTGCTAGGCCACTAATCTGTTTGTTACGAGGACATGAGTTTATAGTCCCCCATCTGCTTCAATACAAGCTTGGGAGTTCAGTCTTTATGACAATTTAGTATGTAGTGGTTGCTTTTTAAAATCACAGAACCTACATGTGGGGAACTTACTCTGTTAAGTGTCATTAATGACAGTTTTAGCATACGGTGTTTTGTAAAAAAGTTTTTTAGGAGGTTCTGGGCATTTCTTTGGACAACTGATGAACACCTTGTATGACAGTGGCATAATGCCATGTTCAACTTTCTAATATAAATCATCTGTGGAATTGGGTTTGAGTCTGAGCAACAGCCGAACTGCTCTTGGTTATTAGTTAGCCTGCTTTCCCTTTGACCCATGCCATTGGGTGAGACTACAGGGAATAGTTTACCCACTTAAAACCTACACTTAAACACCTACTTGAAACATTTGATACTGGCCAAAAATTGAAACCACAGATAAAATTGTGTTGTGAATTCAAGTACTAAAAGCATACCTAGATATGCTTAAAGTTTGTGAGCTTAGTACCTAGCTAGCTGAGGTGGGAGAATCCTGGACAAGTAACAAGAATTCAAGAGTTCCAACATACTTCATTTTCTTGTAGCTTAGTAATAAAAGCAATGTGTTGATTTAAATTTCATCTCCTTTTTCTTAGTCTGTCCATGTGAATGTGCTGTGTGAAGAGTAAAAGGGGCCCAACTAAATGTGTTCCAGTGATTCTAATAGGTATTCAAATTAATTGCTGCTTGTATCTTTACCAGTCATGCTAGGTTTTCAGGATCACCTTAACACAAAGCTTTTTACAACCAAATGAACAGGACACAATCATCCCCTAAAAGCTTTTCTAACTTTGCCTTTTGTATATCAGAAGTGAAATAGCTGGCAATTTGATAATTTTTGTATAGGTTTACAGGAATACATGTAAAGGCTTTAACCAAGCCTTAAAGTTTTGAAGACATTTACCCTCAGAAGCCTACTTTTATTACAAAACAGTGACCTTTAGGGTGCTTTTTTGCCCTTGTTTAACAGATTTTTTTTTTTCCTTGTGTTAACCAGAAGGTCTTTTCTGAGTATTGAAGTGAATGCATTCTTGGAAGTTAAAATTAGATACAAAATAAACTAAAACACAAATGATGCTGAAATTAATGGGACACTTGATTTGAGCTTCAGTTATGCTGTGTCCCCTGGGGCATTTACTACTGTAAAAAAGCTAGAATATTGTCTAGGTGAGGTTAATGAGAAGACTGGTTTTCAGTTTTGATAGCAACAAGTTTGTGAGTAAGAATGGCTGTGCCCTCCAAAGGCACCCTAATGACTTTCTATAGGTTTCAGTGATCAGGCATGTTTTCACATAACTTGAGGGCATAGGAACCTTTGCTTGGGAATATCTTTCTAGTACATGCAGATTAGGCCTGCAGTGGAGTGCCATAAGCAGGTGTTTTAGAGACTAATGAAAGGTTACATTGAGCTACACTTTAAAAGTGGACAACAGAAATGTTTGTCTAACAGAGTGGCCACCTTAAGATTTTAGACATTGTCTTCCTTGTTAGAAACTGGAAGAGTATACAGTGTTCAACCTTACCCAAAGTAAAAATACAACTTTTTCTCTAGCAGTGCTTATGCTAAAACTGTAATACATTGAAAAGTATCTTCCTAATATTTCCTTGCTGCAACAGCTTTGTTCTCATACTTTAAAATTTAAAAATTGAAGTTAATGTTAAGATGTATACAGTACCAGTATTTGTGTGGTAATAGTGGATACTGGCTGTAGTGACCTGATAGAATTACTAGACCATTAAGCTGCTTCACAATTGATTTTAGAGGACTGTTACAAGTCAGAATTATAGAAACTGTTAACTTTCCTACTTACTAAGGTCTGCGTACCCAAAGAATAGTATATATGTAACATGACTTTTAAAGGGGTGCTTTGACACCTGTCAGATTTTTATCTAGGAATAGAAGGATTCAAACCCTATTTGATCCTTAGCTCTTTGCTGAAAAGTGCATAAACAGGAATCCTGAATTTATTATATAGACCTCCGCATTATATAATCGAAGCAAAGGGAAACCACCGATGGAGTTAGAGGTACGTAGACTAAAAAGATGCTTGCAAATCAAATACTGGTTTTAGCATAGTTGAGATTTATTGTTGCCAAATTCAGTCAGTAAGTCACAAGTCCAGAAAAAAGCTGTTCCTGTTAAATTCCCCAAGGTCCTTTTACTGAGATGGAAAAACAAAGGGGAGGGTTTGAGGGAAGGGGGAAAAGGAATACAGCCTAGGAGTGGTAGAAAAGCTACTCTGAAACTTCAAAACTACTAACACTACAATTCTATTTTAATCAGCTATTTAGCTGGTACCTACTGCTATATCACCTAGTATGAAATTTCGGGATTATCGGAACAATGAAGGAAGCAGTGTACACAGAGGGCATAGAAGGTAGGTAGAGTTTAAAATTTTCAGTGTGAAAGTTGGGGTTGGGGTGGGCATGCTGTCTTGCCTTTTTTTACTTAGTAAATACATAGCAGTGGAACTCAAGTTGTCAGGCCTGACAAATGAAAAGTGTCACCTAGTACAGGAGACACATCCAGACATTCCAAGGAAAATGAAAAAAGTTAGCAAAGATTTCTGACAAGCAAAGAGATTGTGTTATTCAGCTGTCATACTGTTTGGATGGGATGATAGGTTGGATTTGTGGAACATTAGTAGTTGGCACCTGGGATACAGAGGTAGCCTGGGCTACGGTGAAACTGTCAAAGTATAAGATAAAGTGTGTGCGTGTGTGTATGTATAATATACATATATATAATGGTATGTTCTGGGCAAGTCAAGGAAACTAAATGCTTTGTGACTCTTTTTATCCAGTTGCACTGCTGCGAAAATGAACTTTGTAAGTAGTGAAGATGTTACCAGCCAAGAGTTTCTCTTTCACGGTAAGATACAATTTGCAGTATAAAGCTAGAAGGAACACAGATCAATTCATTGTCAGTAAGTTTAATCTGACAGCATAACTACACAGTCCACAGCCATTGACAAATACTGCAAACTTCATCTTTATCAATGGCTAAATCCTTAGGTTGCTGCCGGGTGAAAACTTAGTTACACAGGTCTCTACACTCTGGCCTTCATGGTGAAAGCAGTCTTTTCTGTTGAAGGACAGATGGAGAAAATAGTTTCAGGCATTCTTCCTTTGACACACAGTCATAGGACCAATAGTGGATATATCCTTGTTCAGGTATAATTTCTCCTTCTGTCCGACTTGCTTTATTGCATCCACAGATAATTAAGCTGATTCAGAAAGGCTTTACTCCATGGTTTTTGGCATGGCGGTTTTATGATGTATAATAAACATACTGTACTGGCAGTAAAGAACGAAAGGTTTTTGTGTAAGACATACAGTCCAGAAACTTTATTGAGAGCTTTTTTTTTTTTTTTTTTTTTTTAAATTATTGTACAGCATTCATTTGTGGTTGATTACCAAGGAGTAGTTCTGCTTGGGTTAAAGCTCAAGATTGTTCAGCTGCTGTTACTCTTGATTTTTCTTTCAGGATCAAGGTGGGTGCTTTCATATAAAATCTTATTTTTAATTCCTTCTCTGGCAATTCTTTCCTGTATTCTTTGCTTAGCAAAATTATACCTACAATGGCACCTTGAAAGAAAGAATATGAAAAATATGAATAATGACTACTTCCTTTCTGAACAACCTAAGGGGTTTTAATTATACATTTCTAACATAAAAATGACTACCCCAAAACTAGATTTAAAGGTGTTCTACCAGAATACAAATTCTTTTAAGTAACTTCATAAAATGTAAATTTCTGTCACCTTAGATTAATGTGCTTGTTGTAAAACAATATTGTAGGAATCTGGATCTGTCTCACTTACTCAAATCAAAATGGAATTGCACTCATCTGTTAAAACATTCAATGGACGATAGTGTACATTATGCCTTGCCACAGGGCAGATTGCCAGCAAAAATAAAAACTGGTGGTTTATACTGGCATCAGGAGGCAGATGCCAGCCTAGTCCACAGAGAGACCCTGTGTCAAGTATGTGCCACTCCACCATCCGTCCTTTAAAAAAAATAATCATTTGTTAGTTCATATCTCTGAATGCTGTTCCTTATCCTGACTTCCCTGGAATACCCAGCTAACATACCAGCATCCTAAAGTCACCAGGATAAAGCCTCCTACGCCAACATCACATGATCTTCTAATTCTACCTGTCAATGACAAGGATGGCCAGTCAGCATAATTACGTTCTGTGCAGAAAATGTGTCACAACAGAAATGTTTTAATACTTAAAAAATACTTTACTCACTGGTCACCAAGAAGTGTCCGAGTCCAGCCACAACAGACCCTAATGAGCCATATAGCACAGATTCTCGTGCACATGGAATATTCTCAACATCTAAAATGCCCAGGAGCTTAAAGGGCTAGGATAAAATGGGAAAAAAAAGCCTAAATTGAACAAGAAAAATAACTTACATTGATGATAACAATGATTTCCATTCAATTTTGAATTAAAATAACACTATAAACATAACCATTTATTAGACAGCTGACTTGGTACTTACTACTAAATGGGTGTTCTATTTCACTATTTTGGGAATCTACTCCAGCTGTGACTTTTATTAAAATCAGTGCCAGTATGGGTGAAATAAGTCAAAGGGTTGCACTTGAAATGACCTGTAGGATAAAGTGACCAAATAGCTTTCATAGTCTTATAGGATACCTATCACTCAACGCTGGCTTGGGGGTGGGAGTCCAAACAGATGTTAAGTTTGACATTCTGTTAATATAAATCTTAGCCAGACATGGTGGTTTGATGGTAATGCCTGCAATCAGGAAACTGCAGCCAGAAGATAGCTGTGAATTGGAGGAGGTCAGTCTGAGCTCCAGGATGAAAAGTCTGAGAAGCAAGACTGCAACTTGGTAACTTAGCCACCTTGTGTTGGATCCCAGCACTGGAAAACTTAAATGTTTTCTACAATGCCACTCTATGCAGCTAGAGGATGATTGCATAAGAGATGGCATCCTATACTGGAAGTGAAAAAGTGATGAGGGTGTGAATTGCAGTAAAAGAGCAAGGCAGAGCCTGTAAAGAGCTGCAACTTTTCCTTCTTTGGCTCAAGGATCTTCTTGAAGATAAAAATGTGACAACTTGTTTCTTATTAAAGTAAAATTGTGCTCTCCCAGATGACTTGTTTGTCGTTTGTATCAACACACCTTACACACGGCAGGCTGTTGCAAACTTTCCGCTCACCGCCAAGATCACATAAAAAAGTTGAAGTGGGGGAATTCTCTGCCCTGTAAATGGCTTGCTGTAGTTGGAAGGACTTGATGTAGTGATGCCAGTGAATGATGAAATGCACAGAGTGCTGAAGGCAACAGTGAAAACATGCAGCACCTATACCCTTGCCAATTCAGACCTCTGGTTGGGTTGTGAATGGTGGGGAATGAACACTAGTTAAGACTATGATGACTGAGAATGCAGTTAAAATATGCTTGGGCTGGCTCTTGGCTGCTCTTGTAGAGGGCTGTTATCCCAGCCACCCACTTGGTGGCAAAGATGAATATAAGGCTGCTTCAGTTGACATTCGGGAAGCATTGCCTTTTGTCTTTACAAACTGAACCGGTCACTCACGCTGAGTCACCAATCCACATTCACAAAAAGCCTGTTTGTGCTTGCAGAGGTCTCCCAACTGAAGGACTAAATTCTAAAACGTCATTATTTATGTGGGAGCCTGTAGAGGTCAGAAGATGCTTGATGGCTGTTGTGCTAGAGATTGAACACAAGTTAAATGGTAGTCACCTTTGCCCCTGAGCTGGCTCAGTATCCCTAAAGTCAGAATATCTCCATGCAAACCACAACTTTTCTGGTTACTAATGAACTCCCATTCTCTTTGTAATCACTTAGGCAGTCAGCACCCATGTAGCAGGGAATGCCAAGGTAAACAATAGAATTCATCTCACTGGGAATCTCAGCAATGGGGCACAGATTATTGAGTTCGGAGCAATTTAACAGTAGTGACCTGTCCCGAGGCCTAGCGATCTGGCAGCTTTGTTCTTAAAAATCAGAAGCGCCCTCCTTTTATTGGATTTAGTTGTCTTCCTTTTTTTTGGCTCAAGTTTTTTTCAGTTAAAGACCAGTTACATGATTGATTCCATGTTTGTGAGAATTGTAAACTGCTTACTCATTTTGTAAAATTGATAGTTTTCAACTTCCAAATCTTACTCCGTTTTCTCAAGACAGGGTTGGTTTGTGGCCCTGGCTCCAATTCAGATCCATACCTGTCTCTGTGCTGGTGCTAACGGTGTTCGACACCCCATCTACCCAGCCCAAATCTAATCTTACTAGCCTTTCCTCTCAACCATTTTCCAGACCAGAACCCGAGTCAAATACACGTGCATTTATTACAGCAATACCTTGAAGCAAACCACTACACCTGACCTTTATTGTGCTAACAAGTTTTCATTTGATCAGTGGTGTCTTAGTTCTGTTTAATTCGTAAAAATGCATCTGATGACATCATGGTCTTTTAAATTTTACTTAGAATAATATGCGCTCCGAACTAATGCTACAAAGGCCCCATATTTTCTGCCATGGACTCTGGGTACACCTGCTAGTAGTCATTTTATCAAAGTAACGCGGCAGTTTTCTCCCGGCTGCTTAATGAATGAAACTCGAGTATTCAATTACCCCACTATGTCGGCTTCATGAAGAGCAAGGACTTTGTCCGTTCTGATAATAGAACCGAAAATGTGCAGAACTCAATGGATTAGCGAATCTACCTTACCACGTGAGTGTGCACCCGTGTGTCTGGAATGGAGACTGACAATAGCTGGCTCAGAACTCATGCTGCCCCCGCCTCGGCCTTAAAAGTGCCGAGGTTACTGGCATAGGCCACCACGAGAGATTTCTCCTGACCCCTCTTAGCCGTTCCACCCAAGCGCAATGCCGTCGCCGTTTTCTTTCTGAGCCTGCGTCTGTCCTTTGCCAGTTGCAGTCAATGGCAATTTGGACACATCCGGGATATGAGGACGAGACCGCTGGGCTACCTCGTGGCTGTGGGTATAGAGCTAGGGAGCCGGGTCGCCCTCCTGCGCGCCCTCCCCCGCGCGCTCCACTGCGAGCATTACCTTTTTCTCCGGCTCGTGCGGCTCTGGCGCGGCAGCCATGGGGGCCAGTCGTCCGCCCGGCCCGGCCCGGCCCGGCCCCGCCCCGGCCCGGCCCGCGACGGAAGCAGCGCTGGCTCCGCCCCCCTCCCGCGCGGCGGCCGCCATCTTAGGGAGCGTTCCTGTGGCTGCGCCCAAGCCCGCGGTTGCCCCCTCTTTTGTTCCGTGGGACCCGACCCACTGTTTCTCCAGCCCCGCCACCGGCCATCAGGAGCGGGTCGCGAGAGGAGGCAGCCTAGGGGAGCGTCACCGGCTCCGCTCTCGCAGGCGGGGTGGCCTGAGACGGGGAGAGCCGAGGAACCTGGTCCCCCCGGCCCCGCCTCCCCCTAACCGCCATTTCCAACCGTCGTGCGCGCTCCCGTGTGGGCGCGGGCCGCGCGCCGAGGGCGGGGCCGGGGCCGCGCGCCCGCCGCAGCTTTGTCCTCCGGGGGGCGGGAGTCCGGGCGTGACGGCCGGAAGTCGCCTGGCGCTGTTTCCGCGGGCCTCGTCCCCTACGTGTCCTTTGTCCTGGCTTCGGTGACCTTGGCCGCCTCCCGCTTCTCCAGGCTCGGTCCTCCCGGCAGCCTCCCGGCGCCGGGCATGCCCACGCCCCTCCCCCTCCCGGCTTCACATGTCGAAGGTTAAAAATAGCGCAGGCCGCGCCCGCGGAGGAGACCCAGGACAAAATGGAGGCGGCCGCCGCGGGGGGACGTGCGTCAAGCCGCGCGTGTCTTCCGCCGGGAGGGAGGCCGTGGGCTGACGCGGCGGTGACAGCGGGGATGAGCCCGGGGCCTGCGCGTCCCGCCAGTTCGGGCGCTAGCGACTCGGTGGCCGGCTTAATGTCTCAGATCCGGCCTGATGCACTTTCTTTGTTTCCCTCCGTGGGCCCCGGTTGGGCCTCTTCCGTTCCAAACGGTCGTCCCCGGAAAAGGCCCAGGCCTGTCGTTGTGCAGAGTCATGCCACCTTTCACGCGTCGTCCGCGCCCGGCAGTGCTGGCTGGCAGGGGGTCATCTTAAAATACCACGCCGGCTGCTTCGCCGCCTCATGTTTTATGCTCCTTAACTGCTTCCCGCCAATCCCAGGGTGTAAAAGATTTTTCTTTCTGTGTTTATGCGTGGTAGATTTTTTTGTTTTGTTTTGTTTTTTAAGGAAACTGACCAGTTACAAAGAGCATACTGCTGGAATAGTCCTAGAGAATTGAAAGGGAACCGTATCCTGACAGTTTGGGAGACTCTGCTGAAATTCTTGGCCAGCCAGGCTTTGAATTCTTGTCTGGAAGGTAGTTGAGGTAGTAATATTCCGTAAAGGAGAGATTCATTTTGAATTCTTAATTGCAGTGTAAAGGACGTAACTGGAAAAGTACCGAGGAAATAACGTTGCCATTTTGTTACTGAGAAGCTGCTAGAGTATACTGAGTTGGAGTCCATTTCATTTGTGTTTGAGAAATGCTCTCATGGCTTTGCTCTGATAAAGTTTCTTAATTGAACAAAATGGAATGTGTTTCAGGTTTTTGCTGTTTTTAACAGTGAATACTGAAAAGTAAGCTCGCTGTCGCCCCTCTCCTCCCTGAAGGTGTGGATGAAAGACACCCATTTCACTTCTAAGCGAATAGAATTTATATTCTGGAGTCAAGCAGGAATGACCGTGACCCAAGAACATGATTCATACTGCCCCCAAACCACATTCAACATACTAAGAGTTTTAATGACTTTTATATGGTGACAATTTCGATAAGACACGTGGAGCATACATTGATAACATCAGGTAGGCCTTTTACAGGATGTCTCTGGCTATCGGCCCTGGATTTTATCTGATGACATTCTTGGTCTTCGGGATTGGTGGAAACTAGAGTTCTGTTTGTACATTCTGGAAGGATAGTCACAAGGATAGTTGCTAGGCTAAGTATAGAAGTGGGCAATGAATGGCTGAGGAGGCTGAGGATAGTCTAAGATCATTTGGCTCCAGGCCTGCAGCATTCCAGGTCGACTGTCACAGCTGAATCAATCACCCTGTAGAATTTTGAACTCAGGAGGGGTGAGTGTGGGTGTGTGGCTTTTTTTCCCTGAGAACTACCATTCACAAAGGAAAAGAGCAGTTTGTTTTGCTTTTCCAAACTTTTCTTTTTTTCTTAATTAAAAATTATTACTCAAATACATAAAATTTGCAGTCATTTAAAATAACATTGGATGCAGGTATCTTGACTCTCATAAAGCCTAGCACTCAGGTTGAGACTTTTTTTTTTTTTTGGCCTGTAACCACCTGTACATTTACTCATTTCAGTGGTTGCTTAGGAACACTTTAACCTTTTTGCTGCTGGATAACAGTTCTTTAGAAAGTTGCAAATTTTTCTGCTGATCTAAAAACAATAAGCTTCAGTGACCATCTTTGAGCATATGCTAAAAATTTTCTATGGAATAGATTTGTGCATGAGGAAGCTGACTCAAAGGCTTAGACATGCTAGCATGTTGTTAATTACCTCAATTCCAGTGACTTGACCTGAGAGGTGACTGCTGCCTCATAACCACCTATTAGAACCACATTGACAGCTTCGCTGAGTCTCAAGGGAAGAAAAGTCATCTTACTGTTTGCTTTAAACTTTCATATTACCAGTATGATTGAGTATTCTTTCAAATGTTAGTTTGTGTTTTAGTCTTTTTATTACATACATGTATGTGGGTGTGTGGAGGTATAGAGGTCAGACGATAACTTGTAAGGGTCCTTCTGTCTTTTTTTTTTTTTTTTTAATGATTAAGCTCAGGTTTTTATTTGTTTTGTATTTTTATGTGAGTTTCTTTGTGTAGCCCTGGCTGTCCTGGACTTGATTTGTAGACCAGACTGGCCTCAAACTCACAGAGGTTCACCTGCCTCTGCGTCTCTGAGTGCTGGGATTCCAGGTGTGTACCACCATGTCCCCTTCTGTCTTTCTGTTATGGATTACCTGAAGAAAACAACTCCCAAAGACCTGAATAAGTTGAACAGAGTCTGCTAACCTCAAGCAGGACTCCCCCAAGCAGATTATTGAGAAGCAGCCCAGACCTTTAGTTGGTTTGAGCTTTTAAGGGAAAAAAAAAAAAAAAAAAAAAGCAATTGTGACATACACAGAAAGCAAGCATTGTTTACAGAAGCAGAGAGATGACAGGTATAAGGGTCAGGCAGTTAACCTTTTGTTCAGAGTCCCATTTTACAGGAATTTAGGGCTGGTCCAGAGACCAGTTTTATCAAAGATAGTTTTAACACTTAAAGTATTCTTAGGAATATTTTGATGAGGTGGCAGAACTATATATGGATTCAGTAGCCTACTGTGTTTCTGCCATGTGAGTCTTAGGAACCGAATTCAGGTCTTCAGGCCAGGCAACACACTGCCAAGCTGTCTTGCTCCTTTCATAGGACTCCTTCTTCCTCCTTTCATAGGAACCACCTTCAAATAGTTTTTATGTGCTTCAACAAAAGGGGGCGTAGCTCAGTGATAGAGCATGAGCGTAACATGAGTGAAGTCTTGGGTTCCATCCTCAATGCCGAAAAGATGAATAATAATTGTGATGATTTTCTTCTTAATTCACAATTGCTCTATCCAACTCTGTAGAGTAATCTTCCAGGTCACTTGCTTTGCTAATCTTAAGGCATTTTTCAGTTTTCAAATATTTTAACTTTTCATGGAGGGTCACATCTGCCAATGTATTCTCTCATAGTTTTTTTTAAAGGTTTATTTATTTATTATTTATGTATACATATTTATTATGCATACATGCCTGAAGGCCAGAAGAGGACATTACAGATGGTTGTGAGCCACCATGTGGTTGCTGGGAATTGAACTCAGGACCTCTGGAAGAGCAGCCAGTGCTCTTAACCTCCGAGCCATCTCTCCAGCCCTCAGAGTTCTTTTTAAAAACAATTTATTTCCTTAGTTATTTTCCGGCTTATAAGCTTTGAGTATATTAGTACACATACCATGGTGTGTGTTTGAAGTCAGAGGACAGCTTGTAGGAGTCGGTCCTTTCCCTGCACCATTTGTGCTCTGAGGATTGAACCCGCGTTAGCAGGCTTGCAGCAAGCTCTTCTACCAGCTGAGCCATCTGGCTGGCCCTCTGTGTGGTTTTTTTAAAGACAGTGTTGCTAGATGGAACACTGGGTTGGCCGGTCTTTAGATTTCTTGGTTATAGCAGAGAATGCTTAAGCCTTGTGGTCATGCTCATTATTTACTTTTTTCTTGTTATTTTTTTCCTTTTTGTTTTGTTTTAAGATAGGGTTTCATTGTGTACCCTTAGCTGTCCTGGAACTGGCACTGTAGACCCGGCTGGCCTCGAACTCAGGGAGATCTACCTGTCTCTACCTCCAAGCGCTGGGATTTAAGGTGTGCGCCACAGCTGCCTGCCTCCTTGTTGATATTGAATGCAGTGTTTTATCAACATTGTTTTTCACCTGCTGATATATTTTATTCTTGGTTGAGTCTATGGATTATGCTTTCCACTCAGTTTACTGTCTGTTTGGGTCAGTGGCCTATTTATTGTTTGTTTTTTTGAGACAAAGTCCCACTAAATAGTTTTGGTAGATCAAACTGGCCTTGAACTCGTTGAGATCCATGGATGTAAAGGTGTGTCAGCTTAGATTGTAGAAACTTTTTGATTGTATTGATCACATTTGTCATCTGGGCTTATTTCCTGGCTTATTGATGTCCTTTTCAGAGAGTCCTTCCCTGTACCTAGATCTTGAAGCAGTTCCCCTAAATTTTCCTTTTAAGAGCTTTAGAATTTCAGCCCTTATATTCAATCATTGATTCATTTTGAATTGAATTTTATACATGTGACAAACAGGAATTTACTGTCATTCTTTTACATGTGGCTATCTAGTTTTCCTGTTCTATTTGTCGAAGAGGCTTTTTTACCTCCAGAGTAAAAAAAAATAAGATAACTGGGGCTAGAGAGGTGACTTAGCATTTAAAAGCACGTGCTGTTCTCAAGATCTGATACCCTCCTCTGGCCTCCACAGATACATAAATAAAAATAAAGATAATCTTTTGAAATATCTGTGGGAAATTATGTAGGTTTTTTTTATGAGTCCTTTGTTTTATTCTGAGTATGTCTGTTTATGTGCTAACACATGTATGTGTAGTTCAGACAAGGCTGGACATTCCTATAATATCAGCACTCAGGAGACAGAGGCAGAAGGATTACTGAGACTGAGGCAAGTCTGGACTACAGAATAAGGTTTAGGCCAACCTGGGCTGTACAGGGAGTCTCTGTCTTCAAAAAAAGAAAAAAGAAATTGAAAACAAAAGGTTTTAATGTAGATTTAAATACAGGAATTAAGAGGGTCACAGCTATTAAGAAAAGGATGGTAGCACACACCCAAAAAGAGTAAGTTTAAGCAGAGAAAAAGGGCATGGGCACACAAGAGTTAAGTAACTGAATAATAGCTACCTATGATTTTGGTGACTTTTGAGTTATATGGCCCATATCACTTAATGATTGAGTAAAATGTTTTAGTATGCTTATGTTTATCTCAGAAGCTTTTATGTAGTAAATGAGACCATAAAGTTGTTTATGAAGTGCACAGTACAGATTTATAGGCTGACAAGGTCAAAGCAAATGC